GGGGACAGGGGCAGGCGAGGGGGTGGGCTGCACCAGGGGGTTTATCCTCCCCCCCCAGAGACCCTGTGGGGGTGCTGGGGATGGATATAACATCCCCTCTTTTCTCCCAGAGACGGAGTGGAGGAGGCGGATGGCCTCCAAGAGAGGGGAGGAGGAGGAGGAGGACCTGACGGAGGAGATGAAGAACCTGCGGGAGCTCCAGAGGCAGGAGCTGAGCAAGGTGAGGGGCAGAGTGGGCGGGCAGGCACCCTGCGAGGGGCTGGGGACGTGCTGACACTGACCCCCACCCATGTCCCTTCACCCCCAGGTCACCTCCAACCTTGGGAAGCTGATCCTGAAGGAGGAGATGGAGAAATCTCTCCCCATCCGGAGAAAAACCCGCTCGCTGCCGGACCGGACACCCTTCCACACATGTACGTGGGATGCTCTTCCCGCATCCCATCCCTTCCCCACCTGGTGGCTCTGGCTGCCTGCACCCCTGCCAGCTCCCGCAGCCCTGCCTGCACCTCTGACCGTCTCTTGCTCTCTTGTAGCCCTGCACATGGGGAGCTACAAGAGCTCCTCGCTGCCCGCCTCCGGCAGGAGCACCCTCACCCGGGTGAGTGGGCAGGCAGCTGCCCCCCGTGCTGCCGGGGCCACACGACCTCGGACAGGGTCTGGGGGTGGCACCGCTCTGACGCTGTCCCCTGTCCCCTTGCAGCTGCAGTCGGCAGAGTTCAGCTCGGCGGGCAGCGATAAGGGCAGTCCGGGTGAGCATCAGCCCATGGCGTGGGGATGACCCTGGGGATGGGGGATGCGGAGGTGTCCCAGGGGATGCGGGGATGTCCCCAGGGATGGGGGATGTCCCCAGGGATGGGGGATGCTGGGGCAAGCCTGGGCTCGGCAGAGGGTGGAAAACTACCTCTCGGGGCTTGTCATCACCCGGGGAAGGACTGGGGGGGGACACAGCGGGGGTTCCCCAGGGCTGAGCCCAGCTCCTCTCTGTTTTCCAGGCCTGCAGGTAAGCACTCGTCTGGCTGCCGGCGCGGAGACCCAGCGAGAGGGTGATGTACACCGGCGGGGGGGAACGGACACCGGGGCCACCTCTGTGATGGGTCCCGGAGGGGAGAGGGGAGAGCTGGAGATGGGGAGGGTGGGTGTGCCGGTCCCCGGGCTGGAGCCCGTCGCCTTGGCTTCAGTTCAGGTGGGAGAGGGCAGCCCTTTGGGGAGGTGGGGGTTGCAGCTGACGTCAGGCTTTGCCCCCTCAGAACGGCCAGCGTGGGCGCATGGACAGAGGCAATTCCCTGCCCAGCATGCTGGAGCAAAAGGTGAGCGGGGCTGGGGGCTGCGGGGGCTTGGGCAGGGATGGGGGGGGCTGTGGAGAGGGTCTTACAGCTTCCCCCCGGCCTTGCAGATCTACCCCTACGAAATGCTGATGGTGACGAACCGAGGCCGTGTGAAGCTGCCACCCGGCGTGGACAGGACCAGGCTGGAGGTAGGGGCTGAACCGGGGGCGGGGGGGCACG